GTTGATTAGCTTGATCTGCTGACGTTCGCGATAATATACTGCCTAGCGCAGCACTGGTGTGGAGCTCTTTCTTCCACAAGGAGAAGATTGGCTGGAATTGACAGCTCAGTAGACTTTGACGCTGTACTTGTTACTAACTCCTTGTCGTACATGGGCGGGAGGGCGGGAGAAACTGTATGGAAGAGCTCTGATAAATTCTGACATACAATTAATGACAGGATTTGAAGGTGAGCAGTGGTGAAAGGACTGCTGCCACATGCTCTACGGACTATAAGTTGCATCTTTGTCCAGTGAGTCTTCCCTTCTTTATCGGTCCACTTATTGGTAGCGGTCTCGCCTGGATCAAGAGAAGCGCTCATTAGTAAGCTGCATTTGCTCCGAGAAAGTATTCAGCTTGGACCTTTGGTAGATGGCTCGACTTTCCGACAATATCATCCTTCTGGAAAGGCCTGAATATCCCTTAGCTTGCCGTGACGTCATGGGAATGACAGGGTTTTCTTGATGAGAAGGATAGATTTACTCAGTTCACCTCTGAAAGCGTCGAACATTGCCACTAGAGCTCTACTATCCTTATCTGGTAGCATTATGGGGACGGGAGGCAGGAAAGGAACACTTTTACCATGCCGCTCTGCCCAAAGTTTGCGCTGGAGGTGTTCTTCTGTAAGCGAAATCAAGCTTAACATCACAGTGTCTGCCCTCGCGAAAGCAAACCTCACTACGACCTGCACTACATAATTGTTTCAGCCTGGGGAGTTTTCGCAACTACCGAGCATAAGGCAGTAGCGACGTCCTGAAGACTGTCGCTCTTGGACTGGGCGGCATCAGCCTCCTAGACTGTTTGACCACCTCTGACTCTATTTAGATCTAGGATTATTTCTTGTTACTGAACTTCAAGGTTCAAAGCCCTACGCGCCTGTTCGACAGGTTCTTAACATACAAGTATTGAGATCAGTGCACGAACTAATTATCTACATTGATCATTTTCCCGCGGATTCAAAATAAGTACTGAGGGACGCAATCTTTATGAGAAGAGTGTCTTCTCCTTTAATCCCCCTCTGCATAAACTTGGGTCTTGCACTCCTGTGCTTGTACTCATCGAATATGAAAGTTGTAGCTGACTCATAACATATTTCCAGACAAACAGACCGACAGACGTAGCCGTTTATATATAGCAGGATTCCCTGGTTTACGATAGTCATCATAAAGGCATGGTGTCATTGTAAGTCCCTACGATGCTGAATGAAAAATGAATGCATGGCACATCTTGGAATAGACCTCGACCAGTGCTCATTACCTTCACATCACACCTCAGTATGAATAGATGATATCGTCGCAAT